TATCCACACCTAATATGTGTAAGTTAATTTGATGCAAAATTATTCCATTGAATATTACTTGCTTTATATGGAGAGCATATACGGGTAAAATCCCCACTGCAAGTGCTCATAGCTCAATAAATGCTAATATCCCTTCTATTTTATGCATAATATGTGATCAGGAGACTGAGAATGTAGATCACTTGTTGGTTTCCTACAATTTTGTTGTTGTTGTATGGAGAATGATTCTAAACTAGTGTGGTATAAATAAAGAAAGTTTTTTTTAGGTTCAAGACGTGATTGACTTTGCTGCGAATCGGGGACATTGACCTAAGAAAAGAAAGATCTTAATTTCCATCATTTATGGAACAATATAGTGCATCTTGAAAATGATAATTGACAAGCTTTTTAATAGGATTTCGGCCTCCCTTGCCAAAACGGTGGAATACATTATTTTGAATGTTTTCAGTTGGAATAGATACAAGGGTAGTTATAAAAAATGTAATTGGGCATGTTGGAATTTTTGTCCTTTTAATGTGGTATAATTTTCCTGTTTTTTTTTCTCCCTTGTCTTGCATCTTGCTGACCTGGGTTTTTTAATAAAATTTTGCCATTTCCATATATATATATATATATATATATATATATATATATTACTTGTTTTTACTGGTTAGTTAACTCATTTAACCCACTTTAGATTTTACCACATATGAAAAGTAAAACATCCCATTTTGTTTTGCTAAATAATTGGAAAGTGATATAGATTTGTCCCTCATCACTAATTTGTAACATCTTCTCTCGACTACACATTGGAGTTGTCAATCTCCAGTGCAACGTAAGATGGCCCATGTTGTGTTCTTGGCTTCTCTTTGGTTCACATGGAAAGCTAGGAATAACAAGGTTTTCAACAACGTTTCTTTGTTCCCCTCGCAGGTGGTAGAAGAGATTAATACGAATTCCTTCTTATAGATTAAGAATAAATAAAAAGAGAATTCTTTGAATTGGCATGTTTGGTGTAACTTTTCTTTTGCAGTGTATTAAATGTGTCTTGTTTGTTCGGTTTTTGCCTCTAGCTCCTTGTTATGGGCTTTGAATAAAAATTTTGCCATTCAAAAAAATAATAATTGGAATGATAATGATTGGAACACCCTATAATTAATTGTCTACACTTAAAATCATACTTTGAAAAGAATTAATCACGTCACTTTTTAATAAAGTGATAAACAACTATAAGTACTTAGGTAACCGGGTACTAAAGTTAATGTGGCTATGTACTAAAACTTACAAACCAAATCAACATTATAGCTTTAAAAAAATTCATAACCAAGTCACAAATCAAAATATATTTCAAAATCGATATTATTTACTCCATAGTAAAATAGCAAAGGACCATAAAAAGAAACGGGAAGTTAGATTATGGGAAGGGCAATTGAAATGTGACAAAACTCCAAAAAAAAGACACCAAACACATAGATACAAATGCTAGAATACTAAGATAAGGTAAAATGTCACTTCATAATTGGAGTGTTAGGACTCTTTGTGGTCAATTCTTGCATTATTGTGCCCTTACCAATGCTTGGATCAAATGAAATCTCATCTTTTTTCATGGATCCTACTCATTTTGATCTTATTTGTTGACATAGGCCTCAAATGGCTCGAGAACGATTGCATTAAACATAAGCACGTGTGCTCTCACACACCAATAACACCATATCAACATACACTCGTGTGCGAACATTTGGATACATGTTGATATTGCCAGATGGCCGACATTGGCCTTTTGTACTTGAGTTGAGAACCGATACAAAGCAGATGTACCCAATAGACGAGTCATATATGGAGTACTCAGAATTTGGGAAATACCAAGAGGGACAAAGTAACTTTAACTTATTGTAACTTTTACAATATCCACAATCACTGAGTTGGAAGATCTAGACGATGTTAACATCTCAGCAAAGGGTTACACCACTTTGGTCAATTGTGAGACCAGTATCCATTCTTTAGTGCATTGTTTTAATATTTTCACAACTTCTTGGGATGTCTGACGAGTTTTTTGTAGTGTAAATGACAAATGTAAGCCTAAAAATATATTCATGAATATATCGTTTTTATTCACGAAACATGTATTTATTTATCGTTTAGCAATATCAAACATTCTTATATCTTGCATCAAAACTGAATTTGAATAACATATTTATGGATTACCTATTGTTTCTTCTCGATTTGAGTATTGGATTACTTGCTTGCTTTACGGCCCATAACATTACATACAGCATCATAATATTTAAGAGTCTTTTTTAATAATCCACATCATAAAAATGTAACAAAACCCTAACATAATCAAAGAGACGGAATCCAATCAAGTATGTTACCATGTTAAATAGGACCCAAAGACACACGTGAAATGCTTTGAGAATGACTCCATTATCATTATCTTTATGTTTCTATTTCATTTGAATTTAATAAAATAATTGAAATAATTGTATAGTCAAAGATTGTTGATTATGATTTATGAACAAGCAAATATGCTCCAAGTGATGGATGGGGTCCTTATATGTGTAGATCCTTTCAATTAAAAAGCAAAAGCCTCAACTTTTTATTTTTATTTTTATTTTTTTTATTTCGATCCAAACTTAGAAGAATCATTAATCATTAACTACAATGATGGCTTCATAATACATTCTTAATTGCCGAAATGCACATGTAGAATATAGTACGGAAAGAGGGTTTAGCTAAAAAAAAAAGCAATAAATATATGACCCTAAAGTCCGATTCTCAGGCCCCTAATCTATAACAAAAAAAAGAGCTCGAAAGGGAATTGACACAATTCGATTAGGACATTTGACCATACAATGGAAACTCTTGTAAAGGGTTATGAAGGGTTAACATCTTTAATGAACAGCTAGAGTGAGAGGCAATCGAAAATGACATGATAAATAATTCAAAGTCATTAACATGGTCGTTTTGTATTCAATTTCATCCAATTCAATTCATGTCAAAATCAACCAAAACTTGGACAAATCTTAGTATTTTCTGAGAAGCAATGTTAATTACATTATTACTTAAACATAAGCGAAGGAAATAAAGGGTTAACTTGTAGTAAATACAAGATATGTTTAGTATTTTTCTAATTAATACAACATAGTTTTTTTAAACATAGAGTGTAATGAATAATATAGATTTTTTATAAGTTTGGTTAAACTCACTTGGCTAACAAAGTGTCTAACAAGTAGTTACTAACAAGGAAGTCTTTGATTCTATCTCAGTCATATACTAACCTGCAGTTCAAAAAAAAGAATAATATAGATTTTTAATTATTTAAGATATATGTAGCAAAATTAATTTGCAGGTAAAAGCTGGAAACTAATACTTTTTAGTTATAATATGTTGAAGCTAAAAACTGAAAATTTTGTTTGCTTAGAAGTGTTAAAGAAAAAAATAGTTGTAAGTAAAATAAGGGTAACAAAATTATTTTTTTTTACAGTTAACACTTTAATAAATATAAAATGTAAAAACAAAATCGTGGGAATAAATTATAGAAGATTGTCCACACACTGAAGATAGAAAGGCTACAAAAAGAGTAAAGCATAAATTGTTTTTCCTAGTTTTCACACTGTCACAGAAGTTTATATTTTTTCCAAATTGTGGCCACTATTCTATTGTATTCTGTCAGAGTTTACACCCTCAATTTCAAATAATTTTGTCTTCTGACACTTGATTACCTCAGGGTTTTCGTCCACGCTTTTTGTAGCCTTCCATTAACACCATCCAACCAACCCAATTCAATAGCACTTGGTAAACAAGTAACATTCACCATTAAATGTTACATTTTTATCATAGTTCAGAGAATGTATGGTTTATTAACCATTCAAAAGCTTTTATATAATTTATATATTTTTATTTAAAAATAAAAATTTATAATAACGATAATGATCATTTTCTTCTAACTTGTCATGAGTCTTTGAAGATATTGAATTCCTCAGGACGGACCATATTTAAATATGTTGAAACTTGAGTCTAAAGCGTTAGAGTCAAATTATTTCATGTCATTTTTTTTCAAAATAACCAAAGATTGTATATTTTTTTTTACTAATACAAGCATTTGAATGCACCTAATAGATTAGCACATCTACAATGTTCTTGAATCAAGAGTATAATATTATTTACTGGTAAATTATTTATACGAGTGTACTCAAATGTTGTTTATAAAACATATAAAAGATCATATATTATTTACTAAAATTACAATATAATTGGAAATGAATCTCGGCCTCCTTCAATATAAAATAATGATCTCCAAATGGAAAAGATGGAAATAAAAAATTATTAACATTGTAAGAAAAAACTAGCATATACGTGAACAATTGTAGTCACTATAGTTCATTTGATAAAACATACTCCTCGCCACAAAAGCACACTTTTTCCATACGTAATTTTTTGTTTTGAATTCGTATTACTTTTGTTTCTAATATATATTTATAAAAGTTGAATCATAAAAATTAATTAAAAAAAACTAGAGAACAAATTGTTAAGTTACAAATTAGCTAGTCGGATATTACTAAACCCTAAAACACACTTTCTTCCAAACATAAAAAAGGAGATCAACTAACGAAAAAGTAAAAACACAAACCTCTCAACCTCTTACTTAGGGGAGTAAAAAAAACAAAACTGAATAATGACAAAATTGCAAGTTTGGTCCCTATGGTATGTCAAAAGTTGTATGTTTGGTCCAAAAAGTTTTGGGGTTGCACCGGTGGTCCAAAATGTTTGATTTGTTGTGGAATTGGTCCAAAGGCTTACCAGCCGTTTGTATGAGGGTATTTCTTTCAATTCACACCCTTTCTTTTAATATTTTATTAAATTAAACCCCCCTAGCGTCTACTTCCCTTATTAATAGATCCAACGTGTGTTCCCCCTTTTCCCTAAATCGATATCTCATCCTACTAAAATCGAAATCGATATCTCCTCCTGTAAGTAACTTTGTCTCACCCATGTATGCGAAGTTGTAATGTTGTAAGAGGTTAACGAGGATAGAGATGATGGAAAGTGAACAGAAGATTATGGAGTAAGTTCTTATTCGGGAATTCATCTCTTCGTGATTTAGTACAAAAAAAGTTGAAATCACTCCTCCTACTGTTAACACGTACACCGGTTGCACAGCGCCAAACGTCGTCGCTGCTAAGCTCTGAATCACCGCTTGTTTCCATTCCGGCGAGTTTAGAGCAAGCAGTCAGGAGAACGAAGGCGGTGGGTGATTTGATGATGATAGCGATTGTGGATCGTTGAAAGGCATCGGTGAATCGAACATTGTTGGGCTCGATTTCGACGTGCTTAACCTCGAAGCGCCCCTCTTTCACCGACCTTCGTTTCATATCCTTCCGGAAGCTGTAGGATGAAATTATGAGCATTGACAGCCGTTGCAGCGGCGATTACTTCCTCCATTGTTGCATCGATCTTCCCAAACATAATGTTTTCTCGAATCGACGTTCCCAAATAGCGCGTGTTATTGACTTACGAGTCCCATTTGTGCTCGCAACCATTTCAACTGTAGTTTTTTGACATCGATCTTCCCAAACACGAATAATGTTTTCTCCTTTCCCTTCCTCTTCTTCAGCCTAAGTCGAATCCCGGAGGCCATCATCGATTACGAATCAATCGAAGAAAAATCAGAAGCCATCGGACCCCCTTCCTTCAGCCAGAAGAACGATCGAACCTTCGTTGACTTCGTGTGCCTTCTTCTTGACTGCCTTCGGTTCATTCCCGTTCCAATCTCCTCTTCCTCCCATTCGATTATGCCTTCGTTCTTCCCTTCGTGTTCTGTATTTGTTTCCTTTGCGTTCCCCTTGACGATCGATCAAATGACGAACAAAAAAAATCCCTTGACCCCTTTCTAATCGGGTTCCTATTTTGACCAGTCAAAAGTCAAAGTGGAATCAAACTTGAATTTAATTTATTCAAAAGTTACCATTATTTGACAAATACTTTACAAGATCAATCCTTTTGGACATAAATACCCTCACACAAACGGAAGGCACAAACGGATGTTAAGCCTTTGGACCAATTCCACAACAAATCAAGCCTTTTGGACCACCGGTGCACAAACTTTTTGGACCAAACATCCAATTTTTGACATACCACAGGGACCAAACTTGCAATTTTGTCTTGAATAATCCATACAAACCAAATAAAGTAGACAAAACTACACAACTGGTCCCTGTGGTTAGCTGAAAATTGCCACTTTGGTCCAAAAAAGTTTGGACTAGCACCAGAGGTCCAAACTTTTCATTTTGTTGCGAGTTTGGTCCGATTTGCTTTGAACTTTTTTATAAAGACGATTTTGCCCCTTACTATTTAATTTTTTATTTTTCTTTTATTACAACAATTAAAAATAATTAAAAATAAAAGAAAAATAAAATACTATCTCCCTCCCCCCCCCCCCCTCTCTCTCTCGTTAATGCCCATTCCTTTTTCATTACTTTACCTTTACAAAAGCTCTTTAATGGTTTCTTCCCCAAAAATTCATCAAGAACATCAAATTAGATACAAGAATTTGCCATCAGAACCAGAACAACACCAGATCTTATTTCAAGCTTTTTCCAACAAAACCCAGATCTCATGTCAAGCTTCTTTTGGTGAACCTCCAAAGATAAGGCTCCCACTCATCCATTCCTCAAAACCATCGAGACCTGCAAAATTACTCACCACTTCCATCGCCCACACCACACCACCAGTTGCTTCACCTGAAACCACAAACCATGAAATCAGATTTCTTCCTTTGTTGGGTCCATTTGGGTCTCCCCAAAATCTATCAATTTGTTGATGGGTTTTAGGGTGAATCTAAATGGGTTACATCAGTTCAAAACATGTTGCCATCACTACTCTTTCCCCTATTCACGATTCTTCCTGATGATGGTAAACTCACCAGGCATTTTCTGGATCCTAATAAGAATCAGGATTATGGATTATGGGGGAAGATCAAATAGGATACAGAATACAATGTTGAAGATGGAGGATGTAAAAGATGAAGTGGGTTACTGTGTTACCAGTTTATCATCTCATAATTGGTTCATCATTCAGGGGAGATTTGGTGTTGTTGGTGGTTGTGTTTGTTCACCATGGTAACCCACCTCCTCTGGTAAACAAACCCCACTAGCCACCATCTTCACCTTCTTCTATGGAAACCACTACCAACATTCAGTTTTGGGGTTTTTGAAGAGATTTAGGGTTGATTCAATTTTCGGCTTCATACCTCGTTTCTTGGATGTCGAATTTATCAAGAAAGAAAGATAAAGATATGCGGCTTATTTAGTTTGTTCGTGTCGGAAAAACCTTAAGGCAATGACGCCATTGATGAATGAACCAAAGCTTATCTGATGGTGATAGGGTTCCGATTTTGTCAAGAAGATGATCAAATAGGGTTTTCGGATGGTATCGAGACTATGAGAATTGTGATAGTGGGTGATTGTGGTGTTGTTGTGACGATTTGTCGTGGCTGGAAGGAGAAACATATCTAGAAGAAGGAACAATGGTAAGGAGTAGAAGGTGGGTTTTGAAGAAGATGTTATATCTTCTAGGTATTAAAACGAAAAACGGAAAGGAGAGAGAGACGACAAAGCGAAGACGGGTTGACGAGAGAGAGAGAGGGGGGGGGGGAGGGAGATAGTATTTTATTTTTCTTTTATTTTTAATTATTTTTAATTGTTGTAATAAAAGAAAAATGAAAAATTAAATAGTAAGGGGCAAAATCGTCTTTATAAAAAAGTTCAAAGCAAATCGGACCAAACTCGCAACAAAATGAAAAGTTTGGACCTCTGGTGCTAGTCCAAACTTTTTTGGACCAAAGTGGCAATTTTCAGCTAACCACAGGGACCATTTGTGCAGTTTTGTCAATAAAGTATGGGTTATTTTGTTTTCGGGTTATGCAGTTCTGTGAACCGAATAAGAAAATCTTATTCAGTTTGGGTTGGATTATTTTTTTTTCTTAATTCAGGTTAATCGAATAACCCGAATAAATATTAAAATATTACTTTGAAGTTTTATATTTATATTTGAAAACTCCAAAATCATTAGTTAAATAAGTCTAAAAAAAATCTAATTATGCTTAATTATCTCGTTTTTTAAAAAATCTTAAACAAACACTTATAGTTACTTGTTAAACGTTTTATAAAAAATAAGGTATTCATTGTTTTTAGTTTTTCTCTTGTTATTTTTCCAAAGCATTAGAAAAGGAAATTAACTATTATCTTTTTAATTTTATTCGGAAATACTTAAAGTTTTCTAGACATGTAAATTGTCATTCATTGTCTTCTTTATTTTATAATTACGAAAATGATTTTCTGTATTCTTTGTCGAGCGATATGGGATATATTGAACTTTTTTCATATGCTTCCCTCCCATTTTAAAAATATGAAACTTGAAGTAGACTTAATACTTTGTTAGATTATATAAAAGTTTTCATTTTAATGGGATTGGATTGATTTTGAACCAAATTACCAAATTACCCAAACCTAAACAACCCGAACATGAATAACTCGGAAATCAAATAACATAAATTGTAAACGGTTCGCTTTCGATCGTTTTATGTATACCCCAAAATCTAATTTACCCGAACCCGGATAACACAAATGTCACACCCCCAAACCAAGGATGGCGGAAACGTCCGGCGGAGGAGGACTTCATGTATAGTATCACAACAACGAATATAATAGTGCTCAAAGTAAATACAACCATCATAAATATAATTGAAAAGGTTACACCATAGAATAAGTTTACATGTTTCAAAATCAATTACATTATGATGACAAAATGAACTGTTTGACGATTTATCGTCCCATCCTCAAAATGTTGTTGGTTTTCCTGTTTCACTGATTTCCTGATAATACAAGTAGTTTTGAAAAAGTGTCAACAATTAAGTTGGTGAGTTCATAAGAGTTTTGTTTGAGAAAGAAACCGTTTTCCTTGTAAAAGCGACAGAGTATGTTTCCAGAAAATCTAATATTTTCTTTATTAAGTATGAAATGAATGCTTCTATGTTATACGATAATGTACCCTAGAAGGACCCATAGATTCCTTCTATAATCTCCCAGCATATATAAGTTATATAAAATTTAAGTTAAATAAACCGTTGGATATAATGAGTCTGTCCTAGGTCCACAACCAAACAAGGAACAGGAGATAAGGCGGGCCCACCAATTCTAAGTCGATTATGACTAGATTCTTATATAACCCTAGCATATACACTTAGCGATTATAGCTGAAGTCTAACAATTCTAGATGAAATGAAGTTTAACAAAAATATGTTTCCAAAGAAAATCCAATATTTTCCTTATAAAAGTTATGTAGCCTTAGATGTCCAGACCGAAATATACAAGTATTTTTCCATACTTAAAGTAATTCATGTGAGTTATTGACATAACTCGCTAATTTAAAAGTAAAACCCGTAAATCTTATGATTTGTTAACACCACATGTGAGCTATTATAACCATGCTAAGACTCAGACGGCCTCGTAATACGACGTTCTTCAGGCGTCGCAAGTTAAATGACACTTGTCACCTCAGACCTGCCGGTCTAGCTGTTGCATGCAGCTCAGGTGCGGGCTTGTCAGACCCAATATAGATCTATACACAACTATCACGCTCTCCCTACAAGAGACTCTGGTTACAATTTACAAGACTTTTGACTTTGTTACTATGAAGGTAACACGAAGCGAATGTCTCACAAATTTATTCATTAACAGATTTACGTGAACTGAACTGAAAACCTTTGGTAAATGAGTTTGAAATGTAATTGATACATAAACTATACCTATTATAGTTTATCCAAAACGTTTGTAATGTAAAAGAACCCCTTTTATGAAAATACATTAGTGCTATGAGTCCATGAACTATTACTATTATGTAGTATATGAAAAACTCATTTGTTTTGAGAGTAAAAACCTTTCTCATGTAGTAAAAATCCATAAACTATGCTTATTATTGCTTATTATATGTGTTCGAAATGAATGAAGAATCCTTATCATGAATTGCTAAATTTCAGTTTATGATGATAAACTAACAAGAAAATACATTCAATATTTAGAACTTATTGTTATACACTTTGCTCAACATAATACAAAGTGTTATGAAAGTTATAAGTTGTTAACTAGTTTTTAACCTTTCTGCACTGTTTTAGAAAAATCATACAAAAATCATACGAAGTTGAAAACTAAATCCGTAAATTCTGAGAGTTCATAAAATGTGTCTAGTTTATTCATAATTTTTATTATGATTTTTAGAAGTCTTTAACTTGTGCTAAAATGTTCATATTCACAAACTGGTCCGAATTCGTTTCTGAAATGGTAGGCAGTTTTGTAAAAATCACCATAAATCGTAGAAATATCGTATGGAGATGTGCAAGTAGTCATTTTAA